ACACATTACAGATATCCAAAATCACTTTCCAGAGAGATTTTGTAATATAACGTTACGTTATATATATACATATATATATCAAAGGTATGGATAAACATTTAATCTTAAAATAAATAATAAAAAAATTATCCTATATTTTATATTTAAATTTACATAAATTCATGGATAAATTAATCATAATACTGGTGATAAAAAAAATATGAATATTGGTCTATAATAGAATATTTTATTTAATCTTAAATAAAATATTTCTTTAAAAATTAATTATTAATATATCACTAAAAGGTTGAAATAACCCTTTAAATAACAATTTATTAGGATCTTTTCGATTTTGTATATAACTTAAAATTTTTCGTTCAAATATATATATATATATATAGTATGTGGTATATGGAACGTAGCAAAAGAAGAGAATTACAAGTGGAGTGCTGGTATCGAGATTTTTCAAGTCGCAATTTTGCCCCATTCTTCTTGGTCTTTTCTCTCCGAAATAAATCCGGTTCGCTCGTATCCGAATGCTCGTGCAGCTTGAAGGCTTCATTTCGCGTTTTCGTGATTAAATTGCACTGATTAAAAGATCGTATTTTGCATTTTCTAATCTAACCTGATATTGTCTCGGCGCGAGAACCGAATTGCGCATAGTCTGTCTGGCACAGCTTAATTTTTTTCATTTTCATCACAGTCACAAAAAAAGAAAAGAAAGTCGTGATCTTTTCGGGAAGTCTTTGTTTTTGCTTGGGCAGATTCGCTGATAGCAGAATAGAAGAAAGGATAACTAAATTCATCACGTGACTTAATACTGAAACTGGGTTAATTGCAATGAATAATACACGATAAATAATTCTTCGTGAAAATCTCAGATTCGTAATGGTACATTTCTAAAAATTTAAATAATTTTCAATCAAATCTGTGGATAAAGATTGTTTTTTTCCTCTTTGTGTAATAATATCAACGGAATTTTTTAATTTACTGTAACAAACGAGATCAAATCGCAGCTTTAAATACGAAAATTTCGACGAAATGAAAGAGATTTTTTAGATTCTTAAATAAAATCTAAAACGAAACAGAATACGTTGTCAGCTTTCGTTCAAGAATCTATTTCAGTGTTTCGTTTTTAATTTTTTAATATTGTTAAGACACTAGATGAGTATTCTAGCATTTTGTTTTTAACTTTGTAATATTGTTTAAAAACGTTATACGAAACTTTTGAAATGCATATTAATGTTTAATGCGACATTTAATCCATGCTTGAAAGCAATAGCGTTGCGAGAGTTTGTCCCAGAATTCCAATGTCATGAAAAATTTCCAGCAAAGGGAGGTGGGGGAAGGAGAACCAGCCTGTCGTTGGGTGAAATTTACTCTCTTTGTTGGGGTGGATCTCCGTCCACGAAACGACAAGGTAAAAAAGGATTTTCTCGTGACTCTCTGCTCTCAGCGGGGTTTCCTATGCTCTCGCGTGGGAATATTATACGTGGAAAATGTGTCAACAATAATTACATTATTGAAAGAGAGTGTGAGAGAGAGAGAGAGATTAGATATTATTTTACACGGGCGAGTTTCACAAAAAGATTAGATATCACTTTTCGCCGAGCCAGTTTCGCAAGAGGAAATAATTAAAATCAGAGGGACGTGAAATAGGTCAACATAGTTCAAACATTTTTAATTTTCAGCGAATGCACGTTGAGTATATAATTCCGGAGTCTTGGAGAAAAAGAAAGTTAATATTTACGAGCGCTGATTGAATATTGCGTCAAATAGGCAGGCAGTGTTGGGAGAAAGTAATTCAAGTATTATCGAAACTTGGATCATTGCTTTCCTATGAATAAATTTAACATTCGTTAATATCGTCTAACATCAACGTGCATTCTAAGCTTCGTCAATTCGTTTGCCACTTGTAATTTATCATTCTCATCAATTTCACTTTTCAAGCCTTCTGATTTCCCAAAATTTTCTTTAACAATGCACTCCGCTATATTTAATCCCAATTTCCTCCTTATTGGCATCGCATTAGCAATTCAAACTCATGTTGCTCAATTTTTGTTTTCTTATAGTCACTCACTTAAACTTTTACATTGTTGTAATACTAGCATTAAATTATTACCAAAGTTCAGTTTTCATTTCTTTTTCATTACTAATCAAGCAGAATGTACAACACAAAATAGAAAATTAAATATTTAAAAATCAAACACAAGTCGCCACCGGTGCTCGTTGGAAAAGCTAAAAATAATAAATAATATAAACTCTCAGAGAAAAAGAGGAAAAAAAAACACGAAAAGTATGAGAACCCCAGGACAACGCACGTTGATTCTCAATTCTTCAATCTTCACCTCTTAAAATTCGTCAGAACGTGCGCCAAAGTGTCCCATAAATTTGTCCTCGGCAACTGTTTCGAAATAAAAGTCGAAGAAACACCGTTGAAAGTCCCGGGAAAATCCCAGACGACGATATTTTACAAATCCATGAAAATGAAAATCTTTGAACGATTGTCGACAGTCGTTGAGTTTAATGTGACTTGGGGTCAATTTTCTAAAACTGGCGGGAATTCGGGAATCCTTGACAAGGTTGAGGGGTCGAAAGGTCGTGGCGATCGAGAAACGACGATTCCTTGAATCGTAAGCGTAAGAATCCTTTTATCTCGGCATGGTCAAGCGGCCATATTTCTTGCCAGGCCCTTTCCCTCGCGCCATTACCCCCATTAGGGTCTACCACTAGTCCTGTTTCCATTCTCCGGGAAGCGGTGGACATCGATCAAGCTGCGTGCGTACGCGTTCGAACCAAGCCCACTGTGTTCTTCGCGCGGTAACCTCGTCGTCGTTCACGAGGTATTAGGTCATTCCTGAACGAGGAACACCGAAATTTATTGAACTTCGCTGGCCCCCTCTACCGATGTGACTTTGTTGGAGTGATTTGTGAAAGACAGAGAATAACCGAGGGGAGAGAGGATCAATGCTGAAATCACTTGCGAACGATACAAGATGAAGAAAATGATATTGAGCGGGTTAGATACTTATCCTCTATAGATAAATATCGTGGAAAATAGGTCGTTCGTGCTCCTTTTTTTTCACTTTGATGAAATTTGTAAACGATGATTTGAAAAAACGTGACGTGAAGTCTGTTGCGTTAATATTCTAGAGGAATATCGTGTTACAGTGCAAAGAAAAATGTTTTGTTTACACACAGACTCTATTATATTTGTATGTCCTTTTGTTACTGTTCCGAGCTTTGATGAGATTTGTAAAGGACGATAATGAAAATAATGTATTAATATTCTTTGTAAAGGAATATCATGCTGCAAAGGGGAATGGGTCGTTTGTGCTCATACCTATTATCTTTCTTACTATTTTAGGCTACGATAAAAATGTTATAATTCTTCAATCAATTTACTTGACAGTAATTAATTTCATCTTTTCTTAGTTCGTTAATTTCGTTTGCGTCACTCAAACATTTAATATATTAAATATATTATTGTACTATATGTGTTATTAAATGTATTAATATTGTGTTATGACATACGCAACATTTAATACATTAAAATATCTCAATTCAAGCTTTGTGAAACTTTAACCATTTTAAATTATTGAAAAGAATTATCTAGTTATCGCAAATGTTTCAAAAATATTCTACAAAAGTTCAGTGCCAGCGAGAATTTCGTAAATTTCGGCGAAAGGTTAAAACGGAACAGCGTTTTTTAAATAATCGTATTTTATACGTCGCATTGAACTTTCTTCGACTTGAATTTAAATTTCTAAAAAGGATAGAACGGCGGACTGTCCCCGTAACACTTCGCATCGTCGAACGAAATTTCCGGAAATGTTAAACTGTCAGTTTATCGATTTGCGCGACGCGCGCGAACCACGGATTTTTTATTCTGCGCGAGGAGCGTGCGCTCGAAATCAAGCATGAAGAATTAAATTCTTTGCGCGCAGAAATTTTGTGAAAAAAAAATTTTTACTTGAAAATTCGTTTTTACCAACGGAGGGAAATTCACGCGATTATTTTACGATGTTGTAACGACAATTTTGAGATTTTCTGGTATCTTTAAAGGCAGTTGCTGCGGATCAAATTGTTATGCCAATGCAATTTTCCCTGAAAGGCTAACTTAAAGATATCTCGAGCGATCTTAATGGTGACAGACAAAACCCATCTTCGAACTTTCCTCAATTTCGAGTAAAAACTCGCGTAACTTATCGCGTTCCAAGAAACTTTCTTGTCGAATGATGGTAGCCTGCTTCGATTTACAGAGATAATTTTCAGTTTTATCAACTCAAGCATCCTACAATATAACGGATATATTGAAAATTTTTATTTTTATTAACCCTAATAATCAATTTAAATTTCTTTAAATCGTCTGTGTAAAAATAATTGTAAATAATTATTAGTCAAAGTAGAAGTAAATATTACAAAAAATATCACTCGCCCGAAAAAGTACACAAATATAACAAGATTAATAATTTCGAACTAGATATAACAAAAAATGTAAAATTACATCGCTGAAAGCAGAGCTTCAACGAAAATTAAAATGAAATTACACGAGATGAGTATGTCACGACGAAAATAAGATTTTTTTATTAGTTTGGAAATATTAATTCTCCCGTTAAATATTAATTCCTCTATTTGGCAAATACCACCTGAAAATCCTAATTCCATCTCTGCGTGCTTGTTAATTTTTATCCCTCGTGAACACGCGAGAATATCGCCGGATATCACACCATTTCTCCATGCAATTCGGTAATCCATGCCTATCGTGGATTATCAAATTAAATAACAAGTTTCCCTAAAAAAAGATTAAAAGGCCTTCTAAATAACTTTATTTTAATGATTCAACATTCAATTATAAAAATTTTATTCTTAAATTAATATAATAGGGTATCTAATCCTAGTTCATTATTTAATTCTAACATATTTTAATATAAAAATTTATGCTATTAATATTATAATTTGAATTTCACCTGAAATTAATAAATTTAATAAAAATAATTTTTACTATAATAAAATTTACAAATTATTGACTTATAATACAAGTTTAACCGCTATTGCTGGCACTTTAATTTATCATTATTAATTTTAATTCCCCTATTTAATTTTCATTAAAATTTTTCTATTATATAGAATTTTTTATTAATTTTCTTATAAATGTACATAAATTTTAATATAAATGAATTATATGTAAAAATATTAATTTAATTAATAATTTAACCATAATTATATTAATTATATTGAATACTATGCTATACTATGCTAACTATACTAACTATATTAACTCTATACTATGTACTATATACTATACTAACTCTATACTACATACTAACTATATTAACTCTATACTATATACTATATACTATATACTATATACTATATACTATACTAACTCTATACTATATACTATACTAACTCTATACTATATACTATACTATATACTAACTATATTAACTCTAACTATACTAACTATACTATAATAACTATATTAACTCTAACTATACTAACTATACTATACTAACTATATTAACTCTAACTATACTAACTATACTATACTAACTATATTAACTCTAACTATACTAACTATATTAACTCTATACTAACTATACTATACTATCTATATTAACTTACCAAGCTCAAGAAACTCAGCAAGCAAAAACAGTGGATGTGACAGATATTTTTCTTTCCTCTCAGTTTCTGACACTTCTTTTTCCTTTGGCAGAGAATGACCAACAAATTCCAATGACGTGAGACGAACGTGACACTTGTTGAGGCTTCGGTCGCGAGGGAAGTGTTGAGAAGATTTGTTGGAAAGATTTTTCGAGACTGTCCAGCAGGCCACGCCTTCCTCCCGAGCCGACGCGTTAATTAACTGCCGGAGTAATTAGCGGCTGAATAAGATTAGCATCTTTCTTAAGTTCCTAAGCGAGCAAGATTAAGAGTAGCTCGCGTCGTTTCATCGCTGTCTGGGCCTGTGTGAAGCACTACTCGCCGGACGAGAGATAGTCTCAATGTGTTGGTCGAGGGTTTTTGATGAGCGTTTATTGACGAGCCTCGAGTCATTAATTTAAGGAAGCAACGTGCTATTTTGTTACACACACGATACATCGGGTATGATAAATTTTTAGACTATCCAAATCAATATCATTGCTTGTTCTTTGTGCGAAACTATTTTTTTTTCTTTTTTTTTTTTTTTTTGGCAAGTTAATTTTCCACCGGGAGCCAATTAATTATTGTCACGGCCTGTCGAATTGTGTTTCAATTATATTTTAAATTGGGATATGAGGGAAATCAAATAATTTACTGCTACGTGAAAGGCAACTGAATATGGATGTGTTTGAAATTTCAATTTTTTGCTACCTGTGACGGTATCAGGTTCAATACAAGTCGATTATGATTAGTAATGATGTAATTTATAAATATTTTTTCTTTTGTACTTCTGGTGCAGCATCTTGGAAGTTATTTATAATCGAAAGTTAATTAATTATCAGAGGACGCCAGTCTGAGTAGAATTTTATTTCAAATTCGAGTAAGTGACATTGTATTTGGCTGACAATATTTATCGTCGAAGTTGTTGAAAAGCCTGGTTACTATGAAAATTACTAAATGATCAAGGAGGAGTTTTATAATTGAAAAGAACTGTTGTACCTACGACTTTTATTAAATATTCATACGATACGTTGAATTCTGTTTATTGAAAATACTGTTCGACACCAGGCTCCTTTACGAAGCGTAATTTTTCAATTTTACTTTACTTTACTCGCACAAATTCAAACCGTAGTATCGTAACTGATCAATAGTAACAATAATTGCACGAACGAATTCCAGGGAAAGTAAATTGGAAATAACGAAACACAATCGCAAGAGCGATTCAGCCGCTTGATTAGATTAATTACTCTACAGTAATCACAGGAATGACGCAATTACTGTTAACTAACCAATCCACGTCTGAACTACTCGTCTATTAATGAAGACGTTCTCCGCAGTTCACGCGGATTGACGTGTTCGTCGGAGGTAACTATCCGCGATTCGGTTTATTCGTTCGATAAATTACGCGCTCGAACAGCTCGGAGGAACGTGGTAGGAAAGAATCGTGTCGCCCTTCAATCCCCCAGACGAGTCGAACGCTTTGACGATACGTCGAATTTACTGGGGCACAGGTCCGATTAAAAATACAAAAGAGAAAAAAGAAAGAAGCGACAGTTTAAAGGGACAAAAGGGAATTCCTCTGGGCTGCCTCATCGAGGGGATAGACGATAAAGATTTCGAGAAAAAGAGTGAACAAAGGGATGAAAGAAGCGATCGTTTGTCTGAATATAATTGATAATACGATGGGGAATTAATAATAATTGAAATAATAAATAAGCAACCTCGTTAGCTTTGGTTGGAATTTCTCTCAATGAAGACGCTCGGTTGCTGACGGATGTTCCTAGTTGAGAATCTGGTAAAATTGTGAACGAAGGAAGCGATTTTGAAGAAGAAAAATTGTCTGGGATTAGAAAAGATTTATTATTTATTTATTTACTGTAGTAAATGAATATTTATTTTTAGTAGATTATATTTATTTTTTTATTTATTGTATTAGTAGATTATATCTATTTGTTGTTTGCTTCAGTCTGCAGAATTTGACAAATTTAAATTCTCTCAATTTGCAAATTTATGAATTTCTAAGTTTCTAGTCTTTCAAACTTCCAAATACCCAAGTATCTAAGTTTTTAGTTGCCAAATTAAATTCCATGTTTTCGAATCATCCAGTTGTTAAATTTCGTAGATCTTCAAATCTTTCACTTCCTGGATTTCGAAATTTCTAAATCTCTGGATTCCTAAGTTCCCTCTCTCCAAATTTCCAAATTCCTCGATTTCTCACCAAAATTCCGTGATTCCTCGAGTTCTTAAACTCAACCTCCCAAATTCCCCGATATCTGAATCCCCAAATTCTCAAATTACTAAATTCCTGAACATCCGAAATTTCCGTATTTTCAAAATATTGTCAATACCAGTTAGTGCCAGACAAGCGAATCCTGGCCAAAAGAAATCTTTCTTTTATCGTCTTTCTTGTTCCCTGTACTGTCTTTTATCGCAACGTGGCCAATATTTAGCTCAGTAGGTTACACAGGATCGGAGTACATAACCGGGACGATCGATGATCCTCCGACAACCAAAACCACGACCAAAACGATGTGAAGTTTTGTTGGATATGACTGTATGGGAGTTCGACAGGAGGCTTAAGATTAATCCTTGGAATTCGCATACTAGTCCACCCTCCATCTGTTCGCGATATTACGCTTCATCCCCTTGGCTACGCGAATAAACGTTAGGGGTAATGAGCCGTAAGGCAGCTCAATGATACCGTAGTCCTTCAGATTTCATAGAAATTGAACGATTCCTAGATAAATTGACCGTTCAGCTCGCCGTTACTGAAAGCTTTCCTCCATCTCCCAGATTGTCGATGTTTATTGTTCTGACGAGAGCAGAAATTCACAACACAGCTGATTGAATGAAAACTACCCAATTATTTAAACTTCCTTTGCACGCGTTTTTTTTTTTTTTTTTTTTTTTTTTTTTGTAATTTAGAAGATGTAGAAATTTCGAGATTCAGAGATCGAAAGTATCTTTAGAATGTTATGAAAGTACGAACATTTGAAGTTTTGAACATTCGTCAATATTCAAGCGAAGATTTGAATATTTGAAAATCGAAGAAATTCAGAGGAATTCGGGAATTTGGGCGACCTGAAAGTTCAAATACTTGTAAATTCGAAGATCTCGAAGATCCCTGTTCGAGTATTCGAACATTTAGAAATTTGATATAACTTTAATATTCTGAAAATTCAAGAGTGAATTTAGAAGAATTCCAATTAGTGGCAATCTCTGTGTATTATTACTATGATAGCAGAGGTGAATACAATGCGACGTTTTGATTATATCACGTTTGACATAATCGAACGTCTGTCGCTAATCGACTTTGACACGATGTTTATCCCGGCAGTATGACAATCGTTTCGATTGACGTACACGTCGAAAGCGAAGTAAATGAAAAAAAACACGATCTTAAAAAGAATTCGTAGTCTAGCTGTTCCTTTTCTCTCTGTTATTTATCTCAACCAGGAGCTCATTCGATTGAAACTCGTTTCTCGTGTCGTCTTCAAAACTAGCTAGTTCATTTTTATTCCCTTCCTTCTCGTTTTTCTCTTCCTACTTTTAATCGATGACAATCGCAAACGGGAAAGAATTTTCTATCCGAGTTACCGGGCCAAAACAAATCTTATCGGAAAGTAGGTTAGAAATGGCGAGGAACAAGAGGACGATATACGACATCAACGTCCATTCTGACGTTAACAACGTACGAACCGGATGCCAGGACCATCGAGTTATACGGTCATCCGTTGCCGAAGACACGAACGACTGTGAAAATTGCGAATCGTAAATTTTCATCGAGCGGTATCCCCGTGGCATTCAAATTTTGTACGAACTATTCACTATTGACTTTTGCGACAAGTAGGAGAACGAATTTCCGTATTTATCTTTCAACTCCTTGTCTTTCAATTATTACTTGGTGAAATTGCAACGTTAATTTAAAGCGCTTAAAGTAGCGAAATATTATATGTAATATTATATAAATATTATATGTATTATATGTAATTTTATAAAATATTATATGTACTATATGTTATTTTATAAAATATTATATGTATTATGGTGAAATTGCTACATTAATTTAAAGCGCTTAAAGTAGCGAAATATTATATGTAATATTACATGTATTATATGTAATTTTATAAAATATTATATGTACTATATGTAATTTTATAAAATATTATATATATTATACGTTATATTATATAAATATTATATGTATTATGGTGAAATTGCAACGTTAATTTAAGGCGTTTAAAGTAGCGAAATATTATGTAATATTACATGTATTATATGTAATTTTATAAAATATTATATGTACTATATGTAATTTTATAAAATATTATATGTATTATATGTTATATTATATAAATATTATATATTATGTATTATATGTAATTTTATAAAATATTATATGTATTATATGTAATTTTCAATAATAATTGTCAATGTTCAGTCGAAAGAAATTGAATTTGAAATTTAGAATTGGAATTTCGCGAGTTTCGCAAATCGAAAC